TTTGTCGGGCCACTGAAGTCGACATTTAAAACTGGCATACCAGATAGCTGCACAACTAACTTCCCGAACTTGGAGGGCCAGTATGTCACACGGCTAGCTACTATGATTTCTTGCGATCTTGCTACGGAACGAAAAGTACAAAAATGCATAATCGTACCGGTCCGCCTGGTACGCTCCAACCTGGGTTTCGTTTTTTTTTTTCGTGATTTCAGGACAATTTTTACTTTTCTTTGTAGTGTTGTGCTGTCTCTTTCTCTTTACTGCTGTCTCCAGTTCTTGCCTCGAGCTTCTGACTAGTACCCTTGTTCCCCTCCTCCATCCTATCCCCAGTTTCTGCTTCCAGAGCAGCAACTGGGCACCCACCAACCACCATTTCTGCCCCGAACTCCTGACAAGCACCCTTATTCCCCTCCTCTATCAATTTTCTGCTCTCGGAGCTGGATCTGGGCACCTACCAACAGCACTTCCCCCCTCCCCCCGCCTCCCTTTCTAACCATGTCTAACCCTTTTGCTCACTACCACCCCTCAACCATAACATCCACTAAGCGGTAAACGACGCTGCGAAGTAGCGTCAGCAGAAAAGCTAGAGCATTTCTCAGTGGCGACCGAATCAAGCTTTAATAATTGCCAAACCATTCCCTGTTCAACTGCTTCTCCCATTTTCCTCCCTGCTTTCTCCTCCATCTCCCCCTTCGCATTATCTGTTGATCAATTTCTTTGCATCGACTGTTCCAACTCATCGCTAACAGTATCCTTCTTTCAACAGCAGCAAAATTTGTGAAGTAGCCGAAAACAAACGATGAACAGGTATGCAGACACATTTAGTCCATCCAGTAAGGCAAAGTAAATTGCGTAAATTCTTGAATCCAACACAGTTAAGCCCAACTTCATCCTGCTTCCTTCTGAACACTTTCGGTCTTCGCTAATTTTGCCAGTCTGTATTTTTGCCATACCTTTCAACGATGCCGCCCGTACCTGCCAAAACACATGCTCTCCCTCTTCCCCCACGACACTTCTTCGTGCAAGAATTACATCAAAACTACCCATTTTTAACATATAATAAAAAATTCAGGTAATTAATTTGAGTCTGCAGAGAATTACTCAACTCCGATGTTGTTTACTGAAAGCATCCGTAGTCAGAGGACTAGTACGCGCATCCTCGAGGGTACCAGTCCACAGCAATGTAGGTTTATGTGATGGCCCAATATAAGCACAATTTGAACTGAATCAGAAGTGCATTATTTGGAGAAATGAATTGAATTTCAGTGCTTTTAAAATCAGCTAAGCATGAAGATGCTGCCACCCGG